CATACCGTTGCTTGGTCTGGATGTGGGCAAAAAGCAGCATAATCTAGAAAGTGGTTTCCAGCTTCCATGGTGTTCATTCCATCGCGGCTCCGATTTCGAATCGTTCACGTAGGCAGCCTCGTTAGGGATCCAAAAATAGCTCAGGTTAGGGGGAAGCTGGTCTCACCTTGGACCAATCTTTGAAATTTCCAGGTGTACAGAACCACAGATGTTCCGCAAATCCATTATGTCGGTTGTTGATAGAGCACATGAAAATTTGGTCCATCGTAAAACGTGCGTTTTATATTCAGGGCGCTTTCTAGCGCTGGGTGCAACTGAGAAAAAAATGCAAAATGAGACTTCCCCTTGAATTTTCCCCTCTCACTCTGCATCACTCATTGAGTAAATATTTTTATATTCACTTTTTTGACTGTTTAATCTTATCTTGTTCAAGCATATTGTTTGCTTTCAGTTTTTGACTACTAAAGTGGATAATGCACATGGTGGTAATGAATTCTTCTAAGATGCGCCATGCATTCAAGTTCCATTCAAAATATGAGTGCCCTTCGAATGAGTGATTGCCCCAAACAAACACTTCCTCAGCCAACCTAATAAGGGCTACAATGTTTTTTGACCCTCGGAATAAGCCACCTACTAATTAGGCAATCCCACAGGGATAGAATGCTGAACATGCGTGGGATATGTTTGATCTCAAAATCTAGGCGTGGGAGCGCTGCACGCTCCCGCATGCATCACCCCCGTTTACTTAATCAACTGAGCTCATTTTAAACTGTTTCACAATTACCTACACTGCACATCCCGCTGAGGGAAAGGTTTGGCTGCCTGTATCGTCCCGAAAAAAACTAAAATAACAAAAATGATATTATTGGAAAGACGACTAAATATGCATCTTCGCAACATTCAAACAAAGTACGCAGTCACGTCCTCCACACGTTCTGGATAAGGGCTGCACCGTTAGACAATCGTCAAGGGCATTAGTAGGACTACTGCTCGCGGTTTCCTGCAATATTATTGCAGTCCTTTCAAATTATAGCAGCTGCGGTCACTAGGGTCGAATTCGTTGATCGGACTGCCTACTTTCCCATTACCACTTTAATAGTGGTTGTTCTCATCGACCTTCATTTCTTTAATTCTCTCACATTAGCACCTTCAAGTGTGCAAAATGAATCGATGGCTCATCTGTGTTTCGCCGGAGGGCGTCAGTATGTTTATATCCCGTGGACCCTTATGACACCGGGTCCTTCCAATTAGATGCCCAACACTTGTTGTTCTGTAAACCGTCGTCCTAAATACACTACCGGGAACACACCAGGCTTTCTGCAGCTTCCGGTTCTATTCTACTAACCTTATCTCAAAACAGTGAGGGTTCCCGTACTGATCAGCTCTTTCCCGGAGTGCGCCACCTTCAGGAACCTCCACTCCTCTTCAGGAACGTGTCACCCTTCGAATGCGATTTTGACTGCAGAATGGCTTGCGAGAGCCAGGCGATGTGCAGGTCAGTGAGTTTATTCTCTCAAATGAAGTCTGGTACCAGTTTAGGTTGTCCCAAAAGTTCGTGGACACTTTCAAACTTTTTTTCGAATTAAGTTTATTCCAGTGGGAAGCAATTTTGATCAACTATATATATGTCACCTTCATTGGCAACTTGTTGCCAATCACTACGCAATGTGTGGTTGCCCTGCTTCCAGAAGCCTCTTAGTTCTGTGCCCAGAAAGGCAGCTGGGTCATTTTCGAGGTACTATACAAGATCGTATTTTTTTACCAAGAAAATGGCCACTGTGGGA